GTGCAGATCTGTCCTCACAGAGGGAGAGCTTGTACCTGAATGAAACCTGGTCTTAAAGGTGCCACTGGACGGTTTTGGACCAGGGGGCCGGTGGGGGGGGGCTCTGCAGCTTACTTAGCTGCTTCTTGTTCTGACTGAGGGCTGCTGGGAGCAGGGGGTGGGGCTTGTTGCATGTGCCCGCCCCCTGGGCTCTTTACTGCCGGAGCTCCGCTCCTGTGCGCTCCTGCAGGAAAAGACCCCTGCTCACCTCCACCATGTTGTTGACCAGCTCCCGGAGGTTGCTGCAGGTCAGGTCATAGGAGGACTTCTTCTCTCTCAACTCCGTGCTCATGCTCAGCAGCTCCTGCTGCCGGCGCTCGATTTCTTCCCGGATGTGGCAGTGCTGGCCGTTGTGCTGGGAGTCCAGGACCGCGCAGATGCAGCACATGGAGCGCTGGCAGGCTTTGCAGTAGATGCTGTGGAGCGAATTCAGGTCAGAGGCCTGTTGCTGCGAGTTGGAACCTTCGCGGGCCAGTGTTCCCCCTGAGCTGAGTTAGTGTGAGCTAGCTCACAGTTTTTCAGCGTCCGGCTCGCACATTTTCGTCTTTGCTCAGGAAGGAGAGCTCCAGGGCAAACTAATATACGCAGCGGCCAAATCGCTCGCTCACAACTTTTAATGCCAGGAAGTCACAAAGTAAAATTTTTGCTCACAGGACTCCACAGCTTAGAGGGAGCACTGTTCATGGCCATAACCGTCAGCCATAATCAATGTTCCCTCTAAGCTGTGGAGTCCTGTGAGCAAAAATTCCACTTCGCGAGCTACTGGCATTAGAATTGTGAGCAAGTTATTTGGCTGCTGCATAAATTAGTTTGCTCTGGAGCCATTCTTCTTGAGCTAGGACAAAAACGTGTGAGCCGGAGGCTAAAAAACTGTGAGCCAGCTCACACTAACTCAACTTAGAGGGAACACTGATAAATTAAGGGCCGGAGGGTACCGGCTGGATATTAAGGAAAACTTTTTTTTACAGTCGGAGTTGTGCAGCAGTGGGATCAGTTGCCTAGGGAGGTGGTGAGCTCCCCCTCACTGGCAGTCTTCAAGCAGTGGCTGGACAAACACTTGTCAGGGATGCTCTAGGCTGGTCCTGCATCAAGCAGGGGGTTGGTCTAAATGGCCTCTGCAGGGCCCCTCCCAACTCTGAGATTCTAACCCTGCAAAGTCAAACAAGAGGCCCTGGGGCTCATTCAGCGCTGGTGTGAAAGCCCCACCCCTTCACCCAAGAGGCGGGGTGTGTTCATGCAAGCTGAGGCTGGTTAGCACTTCACTCAAAGAGTAATGAACGCATGGGATTCGCTGCCACAGGAAGTGGCAGCAGCTATAAACATAGACAGCTTAAAGAGGGAATTGAAGAAACATATGGAGCAGAGGTCCCTCAGTGGCTCTTAGCCACAAGGTCTGAAACAGGGTGTTGGACTGGATGGGCCATTGGCCTGATCCAACATGGCTTCTCTTATGCTCTTGAGAGCAGAAGTCCATCAGTGGCTATTAGCCACAAGGTACAGATCGAACAGGAGCTGCGGTGGCTCAAGTGGTTAAGACGCTGAACTGCAGGCTGTGGAAGGTTGGTAGTTCAGCAGTTCGAGACCCGGGTCCCGCAGGATGGAGTGAGCTCCCATCTCTAGTTCCAGCTCCTGCCAGCCTAGCAGTTCGAAAGCAAGAAATTGCAAGTAGATAAATAGGTACCACTTCAGTGGGAAGGTAACAGCGTTCCGTGCGCCTTGGTGTTTAGTCATGCCGGCCACATGACCACGGAAACGTCTTTGGACAGCGCTGGCTCTTCGGCTTTGAAACGGAGATGAGCACCGCAACCCTAGAGTCAGATTCGACTGGCTTTCGACCTTTACCTTTTTACAGATGGAACTGTAAAATTCGACCTTTACCTTTTTACAGATGGAACACTC